CCAGGGCCTCCCCGGGGACGACGTCGAGCGCCGGTGGGAGCCCATTTGGGGAGAAAACAGCCAATTTAGGGGGGAACCCTCATTCTGGGGAGAAAACACCCTGGGGTAGGGGGAAAAATCTCCACTTTGGGGGGAAAAATCATTTTGGGAGGGGAGAAATCATTTTGGGGGAAAAGACAATTTTTTGGGGGGGAACTTCTGTTTTGGGGGGAAATCCTCAATTTTGGGGGGAAATCCTCAATTTTGGGGTAAAACCAACTTTTTTTTGGGGGGGGAACTTCTATTTTAGGGGGAAATCCTCAATTTTAGGGGAAAACCCTCAATTTTGGGGGGAAATCCTCCATTTTTGGAAAAAAAGTCAATTTGTTGGGAAAAAACATTTGTTGGGGGAAAAAACAATTTTTTGGGGGGGAACTTCTATTTTAGGGGGAAATCCTCAATTTTAGGGGGAAAACCCTCAAGTTTTGGGAAAAAAGTCAATTTGTTGGGAAAAAAAAACATTTGTTGAAAAAAAAGTCAATTTGTTGGGAAAAAAACATTTGTTGGGGGAAAAAACAATTTTTTGGGGGGGAACTTCTATTTTAGGGGGAAATCCTCAATTTTAGGGGGAAAACCCTCAAGTTTTGGGAAAAAAGTCAATTTGTTGGGAAAAAAAAACATTTGTTGGGGGAAAAACAATTTTTTGGGGAAAAACTCAACTTTGGGGGGAGACTTGGGGGTTTTAGAGTTTTATGGGGTTTTGGAGTTGGGTGAGGAAGCAGGGACACATTTTTTGGGGGGAAAACAGCCGATTTTCCACTTTTCGGGCCGCTCATCCCTGTCTTTCCCCATCCAGGGCTGGCCACCTCAAGGGCGAGGAGCTGCAGGTCGCTGTCCCCCTGGTTGCCACCAAGGCCACCAAGGCCAAGGAGGAGGCCTGAGGCCACCGCGGGGACCCCCCGGGTGACGGGTTGGGGGTCCCTCTATGGCCACCCCACGCATCCTATTTATTAAAATCCCAATAAAACCTTGCCGCAACATCCGCGTTCCCTGCCCCAAAGGGGCCCGGGCGTCCGGGGAAGGGCACAGCGGGGCCCAGTGCCTATTAGGTGAATTACGGTAGCCTGCAGCTTGCCGGTGTCCCAGCACCGGGTGTAATACGGCAGCGCCGCGTCTATTCCATGCCCTTTTCCCACCGGATCCCTTCCCACATTCCCCAGAGGGGCCCAGGCGTCCGGCTGTCCCCAGCCCCCAACCCCACAGGGGACCCAGGCGTCCGGGCGCCCCCAGAATTAACGCACATCCGCTTGACGCTTATTAGGTGAATTACGGTAGCCTGCAGATTTGGGCTGCCCCAGTATTGGGGGCAATACGGCAGCGGTTTTTTTTAGAAGCCAGAGGAGGAGGGGGGGGTCTATAGGTTCCCGGACGCCTGGGCCCCCGCGAGCTCCCGGCCTTTGTCCCAGTTCGGGCGATTTGCTCCGGCGCTTTCCCAAATCCGCCGGGATCAGGGGATTAAACCCGGGCACGAGGGGCCCCTCTGCACAAACCGCCGGAAAACGGAGTTTCCACCCCAAAACCGGGGCAGCCCAACCTCAGTATCAGCCACCAGAGAGGCTCCGCTTGAGCCCCTAAAAGGGGAGTTTTCACCCCAAAACCGGGGCAGCCCAACCTCGGTATCAGCCACCAGAGAGGCTCCGCTTGAGCCCCTAAAAGGGGAGTTTTCACCCCAAAACCGGGGCAGCCCAACCTCAGTATCAGCCACCAGAGAGGCTCCGCTTGAGCCCCTAAAAGGGGAGTTTTCACCCCAAACCGGGGCAGCCCAACCTCAGTATCAGCCACCGGAGAGGCTCCGCTTGAGCCCCTAAAAGGGGAGTTTTCACCCCAAAACCAGGATGGCCCAAGCTCCATAGGAGCCAGCAGAGAAGCCACATTCCCCCTTTTCCCCCCTGGAAACACCACGGTCCCACACAGTTGATTTTTTACTTATTTCTCCTTTTTATTATGAAAAAAAGCCGTTTTGGTGTCGCGGTTATTATTTTTTCTCCTTTTCCTCTTTTTTTTTCCCCGTTTTGTTCCCCCGGGACAGGCGGGATAAGACACGTGTGAAGCTTGGGAAAAGGGGAGGGGGTGCTGGGGAGGGAGGGCTTCGCCGGCCCCAAAATCCTTACAATTTCCCTCAAAAATGGGTGCGCCGAAGCGGAAAAGCCAAAAATTCCTGGAATTTTTCCTCCGGAATCAAGCCCTGCTTCTGTTCCTGAATCCGCAGCTTTTGGGGGCCATTTTCCAGGGGGATTTGAGGCGTTTTCTGGGATTTTGCGCCATTACCCACATTTTGGGGCTGTTTTCCGTGGTTTTGGGGCTGCTGCCGGATCCAAGGCCGCTGCGGAGACGGAAAAGGAGCGGAAAAGCCGGAGCGGCCGCTTCCGCGTCTGGATCCCGTTTTGAGCCATTCGCAGGCGGTTTTGGGGCAGAATCGGCGTTTTCGCCTGGTTCTGGCGTTGGTTTTGGGTGCGATCCCGCTGGATCGCTCATCCGGAGGCTTCCCGAACCGTTTTCCCGTATCCAGGCTCATCCCGAGGCGCGACGTCGGAAAAGGGGGGGGGAGGAGGTAGGTTTCAAAGCGGATTTAGGAAAGAAAAATCAAAAAACAGGCACATTTACGTCACCCAAATCCGATGGCGCCGGGCAGGCACCGCCGGCCTCTCCGAGGGCTATCCCAAAAAAAAAGGAAAAATTCCCAAAGATTCATCCCGCGCAGCCGTTCCCAGAAAAGTCTCCGTTGGATCCCAAGAGCCGGAGCGGCTTCTTCTCGTCCTCTGCTCCAAAAAGAGGCAAAAACCTCTTTTCCAGCCCCGATTTTTCCAATGCGGTGGTTTCCAAGCGCTCCCGGAATGCCGGGATATGCTGGATTCAAAGCCAGAGCAGCAGCTCCCGCTAGGGCTAAAGCAGGGAGAGAAAAAC